TAACTGAGATTTTTTTTGGATATTTTGTAGGTTATTGAATAAAAGTTTGGTAGATATAAAGAAAAAATCGGACATCTGAGAAAAAAGCTTCGCAATTGGTGATGCTCTAAGGCCTACGTAATGTCTTCTTTGGACGTACTCCTTGATCAATTATAGTCTTGAGAGCGTAAACGTGACGTTGTGATTGTGGATACTCTTATATTAATTTTCTCGCTATTTTGATTTTCTCTGCATTTCAGTGTTTTCTTATTGTCTGAATATTTTATTTTAAAATTTCAAATTCTGTTGTAATATTTTTTGCCAGTAGTTTCTACCCTATTGCTTCATGTTCACGTTTTGGGATACGTCTTTTATATTTCGTGGCCATTTAGTTTTGCTAATTGACAGTACGGGAAACTACCTTACCAAAAATTAAGATCATAGTTACACTTGGGCTAATCTTGTTTTCGTATACTGCTTTTTAAGTTTTATCCACTTTTACTTCCATTTCATCTCAAGTTCAAATATTTTGTTTGCATCGCATGATTTGCTCCGCAAATAATGATTTATTTTCATATAGAAATATCATTAAATATAAAGGATAAACATATGTTGATACAGACCACAAAATTATCATTTGATTGCCCTCCCCCTCCCCCATTGGAGCTAATCTACCATCTCTGCCCTTTATTTAGATTGTTTATTCTTCTACACCTTCGATCGCTCGATTCCGCATTTTCTATTCACCTACACCTGCGTAGACCGGTTTGGTCGACGCTTCGTCTCTACTAACGCATTGCGTCACGCGGGAGTTGGCTTTTGATTTACTACCGCAATCCCGCTAGAGGTCTCTGACCAATGAGAAATTAAATTTCGGGAGCACTGACACGCTTCGCCGCGCCTCCAGCGTCCTTCACATGCTGCCTTTGATTTCCTCGCAAGCGGCCGCAGTCCGTCGTTGCACGGACGCTGTTTGTGGGTGGGTACCGCTACCATGTAGGAGGTAATGGCTCGAAGTCTCTATCAGGACGGGCACGCGTTATTTGCGCGTTTGCCTCTTCTTGGCGTGAAACATACCTGCGATGGAATCGCGAAGTGGAACAGCATTCCCGGGTATCATTTACGACTCGGAGGAACAAATTGGCTTCCGATGGGTTGATCTGTCGTAATTTTTCTTTCGTTAGTAAATGATCGTCCCTGCCGCCGATGCACTAGTTTGAATTTCGAAGGGGCCCGTTAAGTTAATCCGGTTTCACGCGAGCGTTCTCTGCGACGACATCCCGCGGTCACTTATCTTTCCATATTAATACCCCCGCGGCCGACCCGTCCCCGACAGGCCATATACGCCCGTCCCGGGACTAACTAGATGCTAAACGCGCAATTCATCCTGCGTGTTTTGCTCGCCTCAAAAAGAAAAAGCTCCGTAGTTTCTTTGTAGATGCTGCCTTTGTGTGAAGACTTGGCTATTGCGCGATCGATAAAACGGCGGCTCCGGTGCCAAAAAACGACAAAAAACGCGAGGAATGTGTAGCGCGGACGCGGCGCAATAGGGCCGGCCATTAGCATAATTGAATAGAGAGGTCTTTGCGAATTTAATTAATGCGCGTCCATTAACGAATGGAGCAGCGTGATGCTCTTTGGACGCGTGTTTGGGTTTGAAGTTTGCCGCTGTGTGTACTTACGTTGATTGAGCCAAACTTGGGATTAAGAGTGGACTGGCAGCTGAGTGAGATATTTTTAACGGTTGCGCTGGATTACTCGCACAGAACACCTGGAGAATCCGTGAATTATGTAGTGGGTTTATTCTGAAATGATCTGCGATAGTCCGTTTGAAACATGTTTGCTGGATGAGCGAACTTTTGTCAGATGCAAAATGAACTAATCGGAGAGTTCGCGCATTGTTTGATGTTTTCATACATTACGAAACGAATCCATATTTACAATGTTTTTGACAATGCGTGGGGATCTGAAGAAGAAGCGTATGCTTTTCTTTACATGTACAGAAGAATGGATATGTATTGGCCCTCCCATTTATTCCACAATGTTCATTTTCCCAGAAATAACGCACGTATACACGTTTACAGTGCGTCTCATTTTCAACTTGCAGTTACAGCTGCTACCCTATTACGAATTATTAATATTGTACTTCCATTACGATATTTACAGATCATTTTGAAATAAACGTTTCTTTCTTTTGATTAATAATAAATTATTATATTAATAATAATCGATTTTTATTTGAGAATGAACCTTGAGGAAAGCGTATAGTGGCATTATTATTTTTCTCTGCAAATCGGATCGCCTTTGATAACATACTCTAATTGTATTGTCTCGACATTTGAAAAAGAAACACGGGTTAAAGACGAAATATTAAATTGCAGAGAATTTTTTTTTTTAAAAAACGAAAAGAAAAAGAAAGTTGCCAGTACAGTATACCATTCCTCTGGTATACCGTGGTTGCAATATGCTCGTCTCGTACTGCACCAGACCTTCGTGAGATTCCACGCTAGTCGTGTACGTCTGAACCGCGTGTAGTCGTTCATCATTGTATTCTTGCTAAAAAAAAGTAGACGACGATTGTGAGAAGCTTGTATGGCCAAAGGCGGAGGCACCGGTGGAGCTGGAGAATTGTGGACAAGCACTGCTGCGGCGATGTCACTGGTGCACTGGCGGCCGAGGCCCTGGAGATAGCAGTGGAGACAAGCGCTGCTGCAGACAATGCACTGGTGCCAAAGGAGGCAATGGAGATAAAGAGTAACGAAAATAAACCTACTGAGCTTTCATAGAGGCCGGCTGAAGTGGCTCATGGTATCAGCTGATGTCACTGCAGTGCGTCTGACAGGGTCTCGACTCCGTCCACGGAGTCACCGTCCCCGTCCTCGGGTTCGAGTCCCGACGGTGGCAGGAGATTCGCCACTTGTCAGATAGCTAGGCCGAGTACTGACTGGAGGAGAATTCTAGCGGCCGGCTGCTCTGGTCGGTAGTTTTCCGTGGCTTCTCCGATCAATACCAGTCCAATGCAGGAGCAGTACCCTACCAAACGGGCCACTGACAGCGCGTGATCTTTCCGTTCCATTCCTTGTCTTATCCTACCCCTTACAAACACACTTACATTCACTATACTACCACACATGCCGGGAGGCCGGTGTGGAGCTTTGAGCTGGCCCCGGCTGTGGCAATCCCCGCTGGTGGAAAATACCTGGTTGGGGAAATCCCCAGCATCCGACGATAGGTCGGCGCTGGATCTCGGCATCGAGCTGGGCAAGATCACCTCCACCTCTCGAGTAAAACCCATGCACTACATTTACGGGAATGACAGTCGCTGACCCACCCGGAATCACTAGTAGTCAATCTTTCAATTCATCAATTAGCTTCCATAGTTGCACCAAGGCTGCCCCAGTGTCCGTAGCCGCCGCAGCGCAGTCGATAGAGACGAAGAGTAGCTAGGTCAGGCGCTGCACCAGTGCAGTTGAAAGGACGTCGTGCGGCCACGAGTGGGTGGGAGGAGGGAAGGAAGCAGCTGTCCGCGCCACTGAAGCGCCCGCGGCGGCTGGCCCCCCGACGCGGCCGTAACTCGCCGCGGCGGCGCCTCTTGTGCTGCCATAAGGGAGCGGCCGTCGCGCGGGCGTCGGCGCCGAGACTCGCACCGCGCGCTCCCCCTGCCCTCGCGTCGTGCGCGCCATGAAATTCGATGAGAGCGGGCGAGCCCCGCCACTTCCCCGGCGCGCCTCTGCGGGCGCCTCGCCTCCGATCGGTCGTGTTGCTCTCGCGCTGAACCGGCTTCTATCGCTCTGTATTCGTTGGCTCTTGGGACTCCGCTCTTCGTCGTCCTTGTTATTTACTCAGCGTCCATTTCAGTTGCTCATTGATTCCAACGTGTTCTCAGACCGATCTTAGCGAGTTTTGTTCCACAAATTATTGTTTACTGACTGGGACATCGGATGTTCGCTGTGTTACCCTCACGATATGCAACCACCCCAAATCATCTCCACTTTTATTCTTCGCCATATCTCCTTCCTTCTTCTGCACCTTCATTCATCCTTTCATTCTTTTTATTTCCCCTCCCCTGTGACGATTTAATTATTCCACTGTACGCTCCTTTCCTCCTTCCCGTAACTTCCCGTGCTTATCACTTCGTTTCTTCCTTGGTCCGTGTCCGTGGTCTTCACTACTTCTTCGATTTTACGCCCCATTGACATGTACCATTATCGTGTTACTTCCTCTGGGCGTCCTCACATCCCTCACTTCTGCCGGGAACGCTCCTCGTTTTTGTTCAAATAATTCTTACCCTGCTTCGCCGCTTCCTCCGCACCGGTTGCGTGCTCCTCACCCCGTCTCCGGTCGTCGAACCCGCCTGGCGCTCATGCTCTCGCCTCCTTGATCTTTCCTACGACGCGTCGTCCCTGCGACCCCGCCGACCTCTTGGAGGCCTCCCTTGGCCATGAGGCGCCGCTGCACGAAACGCGCCTGCAAAGGCGTCTGCAGCGCTGCGCACGATCAGCTGCCTTTTCGCTTCGCTACCTCAGTGCATACTGCCTATTATCCGTGCAATGCTCGTCGGAATGATAACGAGGAAATATTGGCTTTTAAAGAACGACACGTTCCCAAAACCTGTTGGGTGAAGTACATTTTAATGTACGCATTCATCTCGAAGGGTGTTCTTCGAAGTGAAGTAGCACAATACCGTGGATTCCTATGTTCCAATGACAGTACATTGGATTCCTATGTTCCAATGACAGTACATTGGATTCCTATGTTCCAATGACAGTACATTGGATTCGTATGTTCCGAGTCCAAATAAATTCACTCAAAAGCTTGTGCCTCTCATCTTGCTAATGAAATTCCTGAATTTTAGTGAAGGTGGAGTTCTTTTCCTCGAATGGAATTCTGTATTACAAACCATGAGACAACATGATACACTATTATACCAAGATAAATGAGCATTTTCTATTCCAGCTCTTGTAAAACTTAAAGTTCAGAGCCTATGGAATAAAGCATTCTCTACTTTACTGTCCTATTAGATAAAACTTCCTTCCTTTCATACTATCAAATGTGCCCGTTCAGGTAACGTGAAGTGTGTTCTTTTAGAACGCCAACAAAAGCTTCATTTGTTGGTTGCACAAAGCTACTCGTTCTCACGGTACTCACACGCCAACTGTCAACATGGGATTGCGGAGGAGAATTCGAGCGTGAGTTGCGAATTCGTGACTTGCACTTGCGAAGTGGCATCGAGGTTGTTGATATTCGCACCGGCGGCAGCTCGCAATGTTGCCAATGCGCTGACCATATGCTTTGGAGCGGTTCGTTTAACTGCCAAGAAACGTCACGACGTACTTCATGCCTTTTTCTTTAGGAAGAAGAATTATCGAGATTTCCGGAAGGTGATATTGTTCGCAAGTAATGTTTTGGACTGTTAGCTGATGCTTTTTTACTTCTTTGTTATTTTTTAAAACGTTTTTGAACAATCAGCATAAGATACAAGGAAAATGGAAGGCTTTTTTTTTTCTTCAATAGACGTCAGAGTCTATTTAGGTACGCATCAATATCAGAGAGGATTCTGTATCTGTGAAAGGGAATCAAGAGGTGCGCTTACTTGAACGTTTGTTATGCTTTATTTTCTTTTGAGGCGAAACAGGTTGAGAACAAAGCACTATGATTCTCTTTGATCTTTCGGAAACATGGTGGCTTTCGCGCTAGATCCGACAAAATTGGATGGGAAAACGAGGCGGAGCAGGTTCAGAATAAACGGAAGGTTTTCATAGAGTACGGGGCAGACCGAGTTAAAAATGCACTTTGTGTAATTGATATAGCATGAGACCGTTTTCATACGTTTTATAAAAAGTGTTCCATGTTTCATATTAATATTCTAGCATAGAAATAAATCGGGATAAAATATTCTTATAACACAAGATACTGTCCATGTTGTGTAATTTTTAATGTCTTAGCCAGTTGCGATATTGCACATTGTCATTCTTGAGAATGCGATTAGTACATTCTATTATGCAAATTCACTTACGTTTACTCTTCTTACTTAATAATGGTCGTATTTGTCCCAAATAACCATCAGATCTGTGAACATCATTTTAATTATTATTTTATTCTATGTATTGTTAATATTACGTTGTATCGTTTGGCTAAGAAAGGCTTCCGTTCCCGGTGACAGCAACTTAACCCATAAAATAAGAGGTGACGCCCAAGCACATTGTTATTAACACGAGTACATTATTCTTAATAGTCTTTTCTATGAAACCAAAGGTGACGAATTAACGATGTCGGATAACTAGATTTTGAATAATAAATAAAACTTCGAAAACGAAATGGAAGTAAAATATCGAAGCATTATTTAGATACATAAACATAGCACTATAGATTTCTTTGTACAAAAACTTCGTTCATTCCAGTACGCTCTACCAAGTGTTCATTGTTCATTGTAGGCTGACTATTGGCGGGACTGGCAAAGGACCGGTTTATGCCCGAGTCGAATGTATTTACATTTCACGGTAACGAATTTAATATGAAGTGCTTGGGGCAGGAGAAGATCAGGCAAACCCCGCCACAACAAACATCCCGCTGTATGTTCATGTTAATATCCCGTTGTATGTTAATGTCCCTTGTCTTAACCAAGGGATGCAGCCCAAAGGCTGATCCCCATAATTCCACACGTTGATCTCTCCAGGGTGAAAGATAACTGGGTCTCGGAGAGAGAAATGTGTTGCGTGGTCAGTAGTGACCCGTACGCGAATAATAATAATAATAATAATAATAATAATAATAATAATAATAATGGTGATGATGGTGATGATGATGATAATGATGATGATGATAATGATGATAATGATAATGATGATAATGATAATGATGATAATGATAATGATAATAATAATAATGATAATAATAATGATAATAATAATGATAATAATAATAATAATAATAATAATAATAATAATAATAATAATGTCTTATTCATATTTATGAAGGCCTTGGAGCACAATCCAAACGAGATACTTTACACCAAAATCGAGAAATCAACATTTACGAATTGAGGTAGTATGATTATTTAATAAATATATTTTCTTTGGGCATGGCGACCTGGATGGCCGAGGTGGCTAGAGCGTGTGCTGACTCAGCGCCTCGGTCGGAAGAGCCGCGGGCTCGAGTCCCGTCGTGAGCATGGTTGATTGTCCGTTGTGTTTCATGTACGTGTGTTGTCGCGGAAGTCCTTGTGAGTCTGCTGACCACAGGCCGAGGAGCACGCATGTGGGTCTAATGTAAAGGTTAATGTGCCTCCCCATGAGAGATGTTACCCGGCACGGATAGTCGTAATCGACGTCCCCTAAAGGAGGAAAAGCCTCATGAAGGAACAAAAATAAATAAATAAATAAATAAATAAATAAATAAATAAAAATAAATAAAAATAAATAAAAATAAATAAAAATAAATAAAAATAAATAAATAAATAAATAAATAAATAAAATAATTATTAAACAAAAATAAATAAATAAATAAATAAATTAAATAGAATAAATAAATAAATTAAATAATAAATAAATAAATAAATAAATAAATAAATAAATAAATAAATAAATAAATAAATAAATAAATAAATATAATTTAAAAAAAAATCTTGGATGTAAGCCTGCGTCAGTGCGACCTTCCCCGCAAAGACGTGTTCGTTCTCGGCAGTGATCGGGCGTGCACTTGTGCCCGCTGCGGCCGGCGCCTCCGTCCCGCGCCTTTCTCCGGCGAGCGGTTGCGTCACCGCGCGCGCAATGTTCGCGGCACGCGCGCGTTTTCTCCTTCTCGCTGCAGGCCCACCGCCCCTCCCGCACCGCCCCTGCCCCTGACAGGAAGGTCAAGGCCGTGAACAGGCTCGCTCGCAACGGCCGGCACGACCACAAAGCGGGTACGCAGGATTTTGGTGCGAAACGGCGCTGCTGAACGCGGCGCTTGCTGCGTGGGTGGGTTTGCTACGATGTGGCGTGGAGATGAGACGGTGATTAGAGAACTACGTTCGTTTCTGATGTTTCGATTACGTCGTTTCTCATGCTTCGTTATGTAAACATTCCTTATTTTCAATCCGTCAAAACACCGAAGGTAGTTGCTCCCATTATAATGCAAAAGAAAGTATAGCTGAATTCACTGACGACACACATGAGATTTATTCTTTGTAAATTTTCGAGTTCTTATTTGCTCTTTTTTGTTGTTTGTTTTTCGATATGGGCTATGTGTTGATATTTCTGTATTTGTTCTATCTTATCATGTTGAACATGTGTATGTTCGATGAAAAAATCTATAATCTATTCGCAACAAGAAAAATTTTGTATTCATTGTGATAATGAAATAATTTAGTATATTATGTAAAGAGTAAAATAATTGAATCCTACTAACCATTTCAATTCTCGGTAATGCATTCTAAACAAAAATACACTAATACTTTAAATCTCTAAATGGCTGTGCAAAAGGCATCATCACCCATATTTCTATAGCGACGTTTCCGTCTTTCTAATGCTTCTCTGTGCGGACTTTCTCTTCCTTCTGGGTAGATATTGCGACTAACTTGCAAAGTTCCCGCGGGAAAGCCGTGCACTGTTGTGTCTCCAGAAATATGCTGCTGTGCTTTATTATCGGACTGCTGGTGTACTTGTGAATAAGGCTACTGTGCATTTCCTCATTCTCTCGAGCCACCTTGTTAGAAAGGCATGCGACCAAGACGCCTTGCGCTAAGGAACTTCAAAGAGGATTCTTTTCATTTTTTCGATTTCCACTTCATAAGATAAGCTTTTCGCATCAGATTGTGTTTAAGGAGAACAGAAGCACCGCTGATGCTGCTTTAGTCGATGAATGAGAGCTTGTTTATGCATTTAGAAGTTAAGTCCTCTGCTTCAACCGTGCAATGCAGCTGCTGACTGAAATGCTTATGAAACATTGTCTTTGAGATCCGAATGCTCTGAATTCTTAAGACCTCAAAAGAAATATTCCACAGATCACAGAAATGAAATTTGTGCGTGGATTGTCATTATTACCCGTAAGTTTATATGTTTATGACAATTCTATGAGAGTTTTTGAATGCTGCGACATGTCTTAAAATGTATGACACGTAATATCTAACCTCTGATTAGAAGGAAAAAAAAACAACAACAGTATTTCTTCAAATTTTGTTGTTACCCCAGTTTCTTAATTGTGTTTCTGTAGTATCTGAAGAAAAATTCTCCTACAAACTATGATTTACTATTTGACGTCATGAGTAGTTGAACGAATGTCCTCTGCTACCTTCCGAATATCGCTGGTTTGAAATAAATGTTCAATATAGTAAATGTTTTACAAATTTTTTGTCAGGAGGCCCCGCCTCCCGACCACTTTTGACCCGCCGTCCGAAGTTCAAGTCCTGGGCCGCCCAAGAGCACATGAGCTACGCCTGGCGGCGACGCGCCGTGGAGTTCAACGCGCTCTCGGGGCCCGCCGAGCGCCTAGGCCAGAACCGGACTGTACGGGCGCGCCGCCGCCCAGCGCCCTGGCCGCCGCGCCGCGACTAATGATCGCCCCCGAACGGGCGGTCCTCGACCTCGCCTGTCGCCCGCCCGCGCCCCCGCCGCCCACCCCTGAGAGGTCGCAGGGTCGACCCTCATCTGCACCGCGGGGCGACAGACGAAATAATTCGGTTGGACTTTCGGCAGTTCCACTAATGCGGTTGGAAGGATTCACTCTTAGTTTGCCTAATCTTTTTTCATCTGTATAAAAAATGTTAACGCATTCATTCCATTAGAGAGTATGAAGACAGTGAGCGGATGGTTTACTCTTACATAATGAACAGCGTGCCTAGAAATTGTTTACGGTCTTAAAACTGTGATCCATAAATATTGACTGGTTGATACTTCTTTCTTGTATTCTTCGTCGTAATCATTTTTAATAACATATTAAAGACTAGCTATATGGAGCTGTGGGTTAAATTTAATACAGCGCGCTCTCGTAGAAAGTTGATAATTAATGGCAGTAAAGGCACATTTGTTAAAAAGTATATGAGTAAATATTCAAGTAAATATTCAATCTTTACTGAATCATTATTTCCATTTCCATCATCACATGTAGCAATTAAGGGGAAATATTGAAAATGGATAAATGGTTGTCTTTTGATGCTATAAC